ATACTCTTTTGTTATATTCTCTGTTGTGTTTCCTGCTTAAGCATTTAAACTTGTGCATAGTGTGTTTGTGTCCCTCAGTAAATACATTTCCAAATGTTAGTTAGCGGTGGTGTTTCTGTCCCTGATAATATGTACTTCTGAGCTGATTGAAGCAGATGGAGTGTGAGTTTTGGGTGCTTGTCTGGCCACGCTGAGACATGGACGAGACAAGATTAGAATGCAGACCATTCACAGCTGTTGCTGGTGCCATCACGTGTAGTTACATTAAGAAGGTACGGCACTGGTATCGTATTACCATATTACTTTATGATCAGCCAACCATAACATGGCTTGAATTGTTTTAGAAGCTCCCCATTTGTACAGGAAACACTACATTCATACCTTGAATCACACAACATTTAAAATGTTATTAGACCAATGACTAGAATAATCAAATGTCCTCATTTTCACAATGGATGTCCTCACAGTTCAAAGCAAAGATGTGACTCATTCATACAAACCTGAAAGTTCTGTTTGTAGCGTCTGATGTTGTGCTGCAGTAAGAATGACTCCTCCTGAACAAAGCGGCTGTGTTGGATATCCAGATTCTCCAGCAGAACCTGGAGCAGCACCACAGCCAACTCGTAGTCTTTCGCTGCTCGCCGCCTGGAAAACAAGGAAGGATTTTACACACGGGGTCATGTACGGCCATTCCTTCACGTCTCCTGATTGGAAACAAAAGATGCGGGCAGATCACATGAGTTGCAGCATAAACACAAAGAGCTTCCTTACCACTCCTGATTCTCTATCCATGCAGCCAGGTAGTGCCTGACATCCATCGGTAAGGCCTCCTTGTCATAGAGCTCCAGAAGCTGCTGTTTGAGAGAAGGAGGCAGCTGCCCCAGTCTGTCCCACTGAGCCATCCTGAGGTTGATCAGACACACAAACATGCAAATGACAACAACTAAAGCAAATCACACTGTATTCATTGTGTGTGTGTGTCATCTAAGAATATCACAACCAGTAGGTGTGGATGTGTAGTAATCATCAGCTGAGGGAGCAAAGTGCGAACGACTACACAAAACATGACCAGTGACTGCTGTTACTTACTGCGTTATATGTAATGGCTGCATATACTGCTGTATTTAACACACTACTGAAAGTTGAGGCCTAGTGTAAATAGTCATTTACTAACATTTATATTTACTCACCTTACTTTATGACGTTGGTCCAGTCAGAAGTGCCCCAGCAGCTAACAGCTCATTTAAAGCAGAAGCATGGCTGTCTACTGTCTGTCCGTGTTCGAGTCTGCAGCTGCTGGGGAATGAGACTCAAGCAAAACAATAAGCGGGCCTGTGCATGTTGTTTCCGCTTTCTGCTTTTCAACTCTGTTCCATTGGTAAGCTTCTTGTCCCGCCCAGATCGCTTTTCACAAGCGCACACCGGACGCCATTTTGGCTCTGACACGCAGAGATTAAAGGCGTCTAACGAGCCGCAATGGCCGCTTCACTGAGTCCAGTTTCCTAAGAAACTCGGAGCCGATAGCTGATTGGTGGAGCGGGACCCAGACTGCCACGCGCTGTCGTCTAGTTCTCACGTCAATCAACAGAGAAGGGGCGTGTCGAGCAGAATAGAAACTTACTGAAGAGTCGGTGTGAACGTTTCCAAGAAATGACGTAGTGAAAGTCTGTGACGTGTGTGCGTGCGTGCGTGTGCGTGTGTGTATGAGTGTGTGTGTGTGTGCGGTGGGAACACTGGAACAAAAGGATAAACCACATATTCTACAGTCTTGAATAGATGTATTTCTCTTACCAATTTGATTAGTTTTATTATTATTAGTTTTATTATTATTTGTTGTATTATTATTATTATTATCTCTAAATGAATATTGCCACGCTGAAAACAAACCTGTGATTTGTTAGCAGAGGGGATGCTTCCAATTAAGACCATGTGGGAAAATGGTTTGAAGAAATTGCTGGTCAAGAAATTGCTGGTCAAGAAATAGCGCGGTTGTTACAGTTGGAAGTTATATATAAGTATGAGTACATAAATTACAGAATGGTCACAGTCCACCTTTAGTCCTTTTCTATAGACTCCATAGACGCTACAGCTGATCTGCGGAGAAAACGCAGCCTGTGAGTCCAGAGAGTTACGGTGGTCTCGATCGATGGGTTGGCGACCCCTGCCATAGAGGAAAAGCATAATCTGGCGAAGCAACAATCCTTGCCAATTATGTTCACATGTTGTCCAACAGATGGCAGCAGACAGCAATTTATTGAATATTTTTCTCATTAATATAGCTTCCTAGAATGTTTTAAATATTACTAATCCATTTCTTAGACTTTGAAACTGAACAGTTCCCCGGTGGTGACTTTGGATGATGAGGGTGAATCTCTTCATATTTATTTCTCTCTCTGTAGGTCTGTGATACCACACAGGGACATTTTAGGGAACTACTCTCCCCCAAGAGCTGATAGATCTCTAGACTAAGGCATAGTCCTTGTGGTGACAGGTAGAGGCATGGAGATTATGGGTTTAGCTCCAGCCCTCCTTTGCAATATACTGGAGATGGTTGGGAGAAAATGCTTTGAATTGCCTTTTACATCACGATCACTGATCACTGATTTTTCTCTCCGATTGAGGCACAATCCTTGGGTTGAGGCATAATCCTTATGGGTTTAGCTTCATCCAAATGCTTACATTTACTGGAGATCGGTGGGAAAAGCGTACTATTTCATGGATGTAAGTTCTTTTTATTTTTCGGGTACAACTCCCTGGAGGCTTCAAACTTTTTAATCAATTTCTCCTTGTCTCTCTTTAGCTCTTCAGCTTTTTGTCGGTACATAGCAACACATGCTGTTAATTCCTGAATTGTTTTGCTTTGCTCCTTGATTATCCTCTTGCTCTCTGGAAGCTCCATTAATTTTTCTGCGGGAACCAGCTGTGACATACTGCGCCTCAGCTCCTCATACTGCCTCCCCTTTTCATCTATTAACTCATCCTTCCTCTCCAAGCGCCTGGAACTGTCTCTCAGTAGTTTGTTTTTCATCTCCAGTTGTTTGCTGACCAACGTCCGGAACCTGTTCTCTGGGTATGGTATACAGTCAACATGAAGAGCTTGCCTATTCTGTGTCTCTGTTGTCTTTGGAAGATAGTAGATAGTAGATTTCTTTGTGTTTAGCAATTTAAGATGTTCAGTGTCACAAATTTTCTTTTGTGTGAGCAAAGTATTTCTCTCCTTCTGGAGTCCCTTCACCGCCAACGCGATGACATTGACTTTTTCCTGTAGGAGTGCAAACTGCTCTATCAGTGTGTCTTCCAGGTTCTTGCTCTTCTCTTCCAACAGTAACCATTTGGATTCAAGGCAGTTTCCTGGCTGTTTCAGGGGTTGTCCTCTATACAACCGGTGCAGTTTATAGTCCAAATTGTAAAAATGTCTCAGCTCTGTCTTCCAGGATTGAGCAATGTTCATCGTTTGATGTACAGCTTTCATCATTTCATGTATTTCATTTCTGAGAATATATTCATTGTCAAACGTATTATGAAGCTTAGGTATTACTTGGCCCTTATCTTCTTCTTCTGTGAGATTTTCAGCCATATTGTCTGACAATTTTAACTGTTCATCTTCTGGCTGGGCCAAAAATGTATCCTCATCCGTCTCAACGAACTTGTCAGAAGTGACGTTCTCCATCTTTTCTGTCTACTTTAACGTTTTTACTTCTACTTCTTTGTTTGGTTTAACCAGCATCTACTGATGGTATCTTGATATTTGATAGCTTCTCCTTCTTCTTTGGTCTAGTGGTAGGTGGCAACCTAACAAACAAAGATTAAGCATTGTAATCTCCTCTGAAATCTAACCCTGCAGTGCCTTTATGGTCTTTGGCATCATCAAAGGAATGTGTCTGAATAATGGTTAATGGAATAATGGCAAAACATGGTAACCATAGTAACAGCAAGTGCATTTTAAAGGTACAGTGTGTAGAATTTTGTGATATCTAGTGGTAAAGTTTCATGTTGCAGTTGAACACCCCTCACCTCACCCTCCCCTTCCAAACATGACAGAGAACCTGTGGTAGCTTCAGTTGTCATAAAAACTCAAAAGGTGTTTAGTTTGTTCAGTCTGGACTAATGTAAAAAACATGGCTCCTCCGTAGAGAGGGTCCCTTCAATGTAAATATGAAGTATTTCAATATAAAGGGACTTTTCTGGGGTAAGGAAAACTACAATTCATACAATTTAGATGAAACAAACAAGTGAAAACATCATGAGGATTTTTCTACATGCCAGTAGTTCCCTTTCACCTAAATCTTACACACTGGATCTTTAAAACAAACATCACCTTAATGTAGGTTGGTATGGTTACTATGGTTTCTTTTTATTGTTCAGACACAAAACCCCTTCCTGTTTTGTGGAACAGTGAGATGAAATATTGGGGGTTGCTCCATCCACCTCTCACCAGTTAAAACGATCAAAGAAGAAGAAGAATGACATTGATTGCCAACCACCAACAAACCAGACACAAAAGAAGAAGTACGATGTTCTGTTCATTTGCTTAACTAGAGGGGAAGAAGAAGAAAATCTGATCCAGTGCATGGCGGTAATGCCCCTAGACGTTGGTTTCCACCTGCCGATAAACCAAACAGAAGAAGAATTCTCAACTATTGCTAATCCAAATGATGTCTACATTGTGCTACCTATGTCCATCAACTTTTGACAAATTCTAATTTGAAATGCAAACAGAAAGACAGGGATTTCTCCTATGATAGTTAGGGAAGGGGGCAGGTGGCTGGAAGATTTGCCCAAAGTCATCAATGGCGAGTGACTTATCAGTTGTATAGTGTACTGTTTGTTTTAAACTTAAATCCTTATGCCTGTGGTGTTGCTCATTTGCATTTGTTCTATTTCCACACCAGCTTGAAAATGCGGGGTCATCAATGTCGATGCTTGCCTCATGATGTTGACATCTATCATTAAAAACAGGCCACATATTCTTAGAATAAACTACCACACTGACAGCAAACTTCACACACACACATTTATTTATAGAAAACATATAGAGTAATATAAAGTTTAGTAACCAGACTTCTATCCCTGCAATTACACCAGAATGTGACTATTGCCTGGTTTTGATGGGAGGAGGACAACAGCAGGAGTGAGGAAGGACACTTAACAGAGGGAACGTGTGAAGGCCGTGTAATGGGGCCATTGATAAAATAACCTGAGAATGAAACTGATAATATCGGGAGAAAAGAACGAGAACCTAAAATGTTAAGGGCTTAAATTTACGAGGAAACAAATGTAGGATATTCTCTGAGATTAGCAAGTCACAAATTTTCAGACAAAAAAAGAATCTGATATCATCACATGCAGCGTGTGGTCTAATAGAATGGACCTGTTTGTTCAGTTGGACCGGATAATTAGAAAATGGTGATTCTAGCTGAACACAGGTACAAGTGAGGGGGAAATTAATTGTGGGGGTGAGGGAGCAGGAGAGGGCTGAGGACAGAGCAGGAGTGGGCTGGCTGCAGGACGGAGTAGGCTGAACTGTGAGCAAACAGTTCTCAGGGGAGTGGGCTGACGAGGCAGGAGGCCAAGAGAAGACCTTTGGTGATGAGCTGGTTATGGTGAGGTATGAGCGTGAGAGGCAGAGACACACGAGGTAATCCCGAAGCTCAGAGAGATTAAAGGTTATAGGTTACTTGAAGAAAACTACAAATCCCATTTGAATTACCTATAGATATAACCAGAGATCTTCTTGCATCAGTCCAGTTGTAGCTCCCCATGCACATAATCTGATAATGTTGACCTTTTATGATATATTTGTTTAGTTTATTCTTATATTAGTGAGTTTTATCTGCCATGTTTTTCACAGGGAATAGTGTGTTATTGCCCAGCCCACCTGGGGCTGCCCACCTGTGATGCATTGCACAAATGTGGTGAAGAGGTTTTACACGTGATTGGTTTCAATGTTCTACTCAGGAGCAAAAGAAAATCACTTATTCAATTTTTTTAATTTGATAACATTATTGGCCAAATCACCCAGCCCTATCCCCATCCCAGCCCCATATTTTTGCTTTATTTATTTATTTTACCTACAATGGTCCTAATAAGCTGTCATGGACAAGATGAAGACACTATATGTTATAGGCCAGATTCAAAGTCTTGAGGGTTTAAGGGTTTAGCTTCCTGAGACCAGATCTTTAAATGTTGTTGCTTAATGTGATAAATTGTTACAATAGAGAGAGATATTTCCAACAGTTTAAGGCTTACACTTTCTGGGGTTGGACTAAGACTGTTTACAACGGCGGTAATGCAAATGGTAGTCTAATTTTCTACGCAATTTGATTTTGTAGGTTAGATATTCTTAAAAAAACTTGTAATTAAATTAAAACAAGAGACTAAATGAAATTTGCTGCCATTAACTTGTGTCAGAGTGAGGTTTGTGTGCACACTCACACAAACAGAAAAAGCTTTTCCACCCTTTGAAGATGTGATGATGATAATCCACTGAGTCGTACAATACAGTGTAATCTTGTTTTTCATATAATCTAGATTATATTTAATCCAGTAAACAGATTGTGTTACTCTTCAACCATGCCAACTAAAAAACACGGATCCTAATAAACTAATAAAAAATGTCACAGGCTGAGTCACTGATCCCTCACTCTACTGAAAGGTGACGACACCCTCCTCCCAGCTGAACTGGTTCACCAGCAGGTCGTCCTCCTGCTTCATGGTGTTGAGCAGGTACCTGACTCCAGCTTTCACGCCCGTCTTCACCCCTGCACCCAAAGCGTAACCTGCCACCCCAGCAGTGCCCCCTGTGGCGACCATGAGAGCATCTGTGCCCAGGTCGACAGCACTGAGGATGGCTCTCTCCTTGGCCGTTTCGGAGCAGTTCACAGAGGCATAATACACTGCCGTGCCCAGGTTGTAGAGGGTGCTGACTGCAGGGATCCACTCCACCACGTTGTACACGCGCTCCTCACGTTTGTTTGTGCAGCTTCTCTGGGGGCTGCGCCTCATCCGCAGCCCAGAGGGAGCAGGGATGGAGGCATGCTCCTCTTCACTGCAACGACGGATCCAACATTCAGTCCCTGAAGCGTCAGATGGCAGGATACGACTGCTTTTCTTCAACACTGCCTTGTACGTGCCTGGTGTGAGCCGACCACTGCTGGTCACGCCGGCACACAGGGCGCCCAGTCTCTCACAGCTGTTCACAGCCTCCTCCAGTCCGCCTGTGGCTCCCTCCACAGCTGTCCCCACCAGCTTGGTTCTGTTCACCCTGGTCCAACCTTCACAATGTCCCTCCTGCTCAGTGGTTTCCTCTCCCACCATCGCCAGCTGCCCGATGTTGAACATCACAGCCTCTATGCGGCGCCCTGCTTGATCCCTCTCTGAAGATGACATTGCAGATGCAGGTCTCGGTGTAGATGCTGACTTGCTCAACCTCCTCTCTATCAGACCTTGCACCTCCTGCAGGAGTTCCTCTGTATCTGCAACACCTAGGAGGTCATACAGCGTCAGCACCAGGGCCTGTGCCTCCTTGGGGCATCCTGACACCACCAACACAGGAACCAGAGAGAGACCCAGCAGCTCCTGGGGGAACATGGAGGACAGAGGGTCGTTCACAGTGCTGGCAGACATAAGCTCCTCACAGCTGATGTTCTCTTGAGCGTGCAGATGTTCTTGAATCTGCCCCTGAAGCTTCGCCCTCAGACCTGATATGATATGTTTGGCAGACTGGACTCTCTCCCCTTCATGCACAACCACTGGTACAGGATCAGTCTTTTCAGCAGATGATAGACTGAGCTGGAGATGAGATCCCAGGAGAGACTGATGCTCCTGTTTGCCAGTTTCTTCTACCGCTTCATGGAGGTCAGTTTCTGAATGTAACGCGTTCCTCTGAGTCAGAGGCAGTGGCACTCTGCACAGAGCGTGTTCATTTAGCAGGAGCTGGATCACAATCAGCCACTTTGACTTGGAGAACATCATTCCACTGTTGTTGGAGCCACGTCAACAAACTATTGAACAAACCAAAGACATCACAAAATGAGCCACTGTAGGTGTTCAGTGTTCAGTGCATGTCTGAAAGCAGCGCGTGTAGAAGTTTAAATTATAAACAAAAAGAAACATTTAATCAAAGTGAAAACACGATAATAATATCATCAACAACAACAACAATAATAATAATATCAACAACAACAATAATAATAGTATACAAAGGGAGTCAGAGAGAATAATACCTTTGTATTGAATAAACAGTGACTTTGAAGTCATGATGTTTTATGTGCTGTTACTCTAAAGTTAATTCTGCCTAATGTATAACTGTCCCCATTGAGTGAAAAAGCATTTAAGTAGTTTGATGATAGAAGTAGAGAAACTGCAAACAGACTAAAAACCTGGATTAAAAAAAGTATTTTTCTACCATGTAAGAAAGAGCACCGCATCATTGCAATATGCAGCCTTGACATTAGGCTGAAATATCTGTGCGTGTCTTCTTTTCCCTCACCAACTACTAGTAAAAATAGAAATGTCCTCCCACCCACAACCTCATAATTTAACTACATCTTTTGATCCCCTGACAGATATTTGTCCTGCACCCACCTTAATGATAAGAGTCCTGCAGTCCAGAGAGCAGCGGTGCAACCAAGATGGCTTCGATGTGTAGGATGCTTTTGGTTTTTGTCTCTGTCCCTTTACCCAAAAAAACATGCATAACGATCTTCTTTCTCTTTACCTCCAATGAGAGTGTTCTGCTCTACACATGACACCCCCCAACCCCCCTCAACCGCCTCCTCTTTTTGGCCTCGTTGCTCAACAGAGAGATCAGGGCATGAATATTGATTCACGTGGGGAAAGTCCATGCGTTCTAAAGCCGTTTTGTTTGTCCTGTCCTGCTATCCAACTAACCCCCCTCCCATCACACACACACACACACACACACACACACACACACACACTCTCTCTCTCTCTCCACAGTTGGTAGGTTTTGTCTTTGACCCAAATACTTGAAAGAAATCTCTTCTCATGCCGTGAGCAAATTTTTCTCTTGAACAGCTAACAAGTGAAGTGAAAGAAAAAGGGGGCTATCTGAGGTAAATGCTCCCTTTATGAATAAATATTCCCTTATTTGATATTAAAGCAACATTTGTTGTGCTCTTAAACTTCATTTCAAAATCTATTTACACTCACGACAGAAATGTCAATTCAAGTCCATCTCTGTGGCATCAGAGCACGGACAAAAGTCAAACTTTGTCCTTCAGGGTCAAATTTGACCACAAACTGAACTTTGGTGTCGATAAATAATATGCAGATAAGGCAGTTCAGCTTGCTCCCACTTCTACTAAACCTCTCTCCCTCTCACCTCCTCTTTACACATACCCTGACACAAAAACAGCTTTCTTCCAGGAGAGTACTCCAGAGTTTATTTTCTCCCCCTCTCTTTAAACTGGAGGGACCAGGCTCATTAATGAACAAATGCTCCATAGAGGCAAAAAAAAGCATTGAAGATTCAAGATAGTAGTACAAAAACATGTAGAATCAAAGTCTTGCATTGCCTATGAGTGTTTTTTCCCTTTCTTTTTTCTTTTCCTTATTTTAACATAATATTCTCTCAAGTTTAGACAAGGCATTAAAGAATTAAAGTATTGTACATCAGCAAAGTAGAGAATGAAAAAAGATTTCATCTTATTTGTTCTTATTCATTCTCCTAAAATGATAATAATCCCAATTATGGTTTTCTCGTATTTTCCTATCCACATTCAGTAAAAATGTTTTTCGTACAATCCTCATGAAGACTTGTATGATGACATTGAAAAGGGAAGGAAGTAAACTTAACTGTCCTTAAACTGTTTGCAGGATAAAACATGTGCAGAAAACAAAAATCAATTATTAATTTTTTCATACCAAAAGTGACTGAAATAAATGTGTAATGTGAAAGCCATCACTTTTAAAGATATACCCACAGAAGAGTATCACCCTTAACATTTCTTTTTTTAATTTGTAGCTTTTTTTCAGCTCATTTTTCTGGTTTGGTTCCGTCTCACTGCTCCTGAAACATAATTTTTTGACCACAAAGGCTTCTCAGGGTTTTCTTGAGGATAAGTAAAAAAACATTTCATGTGCACAAACTGTGAACAGGACACAAAGTGAATTTTATTCACATGCTTCATCTTTTTGGCATAGTAACCAGATAATTCCTTTTATTTCACAACAATCAGAGGTAGGTAAAATGGTTTTTTTGGTTTATGAGTGTGATTGGGGGAAAAAAAATGCAGAATCGGGAATGAATCGGGTCACTGTAACCTTTGACACCAGACTGTGAAGTCATGAAGACCGTGGTGTCTGGGATCTGCTTAATGTAAACTCCTCTCACTGGAATTTGTCATTCAGAGAGGAGACTGACCATGTGAACATGTCCAATAATTTTATCTTTTAAAAATCGCATCAGATTATTGTTAAGTTTAGATATAGAATGTTGCTGCTAAATGAAGGTTGTGGTTTTAAATTATTCCTAATGAGACAGAGAATGACAAACACTTGATAAAACATTTTTAAAGCAATTAGGTTGTATACCTCCTCACTGTGCTAACACAATGCATAAGCATTACATCCATATATATTGAACCTTATATTGCTATTGATAAAAATTTTACTGCCTTATTGATGTTGATTTATTGACCAGCCAAAGCTGAGCAGATGATGAGGGAAGGATGGACAAAAAAAACTTGAGGAGGCGCAAACGCTGACCTTGCTCTTTAGAAGGAGATGCTTCTCTTTCACTGTCCCCTGCTGGAGACGGAGGAGTCGAACCATTGAGGAAAGGAAGTCTGACTAACAGCTGCAGGACCTCAGCTACAAAGAACCAGATAATAAAGCACAAACCTGATTTTTACCTCAATTAAAATCATCAGGCCTGCATGACATTCATACATGGATACAAACATTTTGTTTGTTGAATGAGATAAAACCTGCTTTCTGTTCTCACCTGTTTCATCCAACAAGATTTGATATAAGGAAGCAGCCTATTGGGCTTCACTTAATTAATAATCTGTAAAATCACACCAGACTGGCCGGTGTGTGATTCATAAAATATGAGGGTTAATTATAGCACTGTTTACATCTTTTACATTCATCTCTGTAGGGAACTGAATATAATTTACACCAATTTTTTGTTCGGGAATAAGCCCCCAGAGTCCAATCAGAAATCCTCAGAGTTGCGGTTTGATTAACCATCAGAGAATAAGTGCGTGATTCACAACCACACTGATCATCCCAGTGCAATTATCGCCTGAATCCTCGCCGAACATAAATAGATAAAGAATTTACCAATCCCCATTAGTGTCTGTGTTTATATCTTAACTTTTTATTGTAATCAAACATTGTCAATGTTTTGAGAAATTATACTGATACAGTATGGCACAACAAAGCTCAAAGACTCTTTACAGGATTACAACAAAAAATAAAGGCAGATAAAAACAAATAACTAGAAATATAAGATACACGTCAAAACATTGCACATACACTCTCCGGCCACTTTATTAGGCACACCTGTTCAATTGCTTCTTCAAATAGCTAATCAGCCAGTCACATGGCAGCAACTCAATGCATTTAGGCATCTAGACGTGGTGAAGACGACTTGCTGAAGTTCAAACCGAGCATCGGAATGGGGAAGAAAGGGGATTTAAGTGACTTTGAACATGACATGGTACTTGGTGCCAGACGGGCTGGTCTGAGTATTTCAAGAACTGCTGATCTACTGGGATTTTCACTCACAACCATCTCTGGGGTTTACAGAGAATGGACCGAAAAAGAGAAAATATCCAGTGAGCGGCAGTTGTGTGGGTGAAAATGCCCTGATGATGTCAGAGGTCAGAGGAGAATGGGCAGAGTGGTTCGAGATGATAGAAAGGCAACAGTAACTCACATAACCGCTCGTTACAACCAAGGCATGCAGAATACCATCTCTGAACGCACAACACGTCGAACCTTGAAGCAGATGGGCTACAGCAGCAGAAGACCACACCGGGTGCCACTCCTGTCGGCTAAGAACAGGAAACTGAGGCTACAATTCACAGGCTCACCAAAATTGGACAATTGAAGATTGGTAAAACGTTGCCTGGTCTGATTTCAGCTGTGACATTCAGATGTAGGGTCAGAGTTTGGTGTAAACAACATGAAAGCATGGATCCATCCTGCCTTATATCAACGGTTCAGGCCAGTGGTGGTGGTGTAATGGTGTGGGGGATATTTTCTTGGCACACTTTGGGCCCCTTAGTACCAGCTGAGCATCGTTTAAACACCATGGCCTACCTGAGTATTGTTAAATGGTAAATGGTTTGTATTTATAAAGAGATTTTCTAGTCTTGATGATCACACTACAGTTTGCCATTCACCCATTCACACACACATTCATACAGTACATCTATTATTACTTTTTCAGTTCTATGGGGAAATTCGGGGTTCAGCATCTTGCCCAAGGACACCTCGGCATGCAGATTGGAAGACCGGGGATCGAACTGACGACCGCTGTACCCCTCAGCCACAGCCGCTTGTTGTTGCTGACCATGTCCATCCCTTTATGACCACAGTGTACCCATCTTCTGATGGCTACTTCCAGCAGGATAATGCCACATGTCACAAAGCTCACATCATCTCAAACTGGTTTCTTGAACATGACAATGAGTTCACTGTGCTCCAATGGCCTCCACAGTCTCCAGATCTCAATCCAATAGAGCACCTTTAGGATGTGGTTATGCATTATGGATGTGCAGCCGACAAATCTGCAGCAACTGCATGATGCTATCATGTCAATATGGACCAAAATCTCTGAGGAATGTTTCCAACTCCTTGATGAATCTATGAAGAATTACGGCAGTTCTGAAGGCAAAAGGGGGTCCAACCCAGTACTAGCAAAGTGTACCTAATAAAGTGGCCGGTGAGTGTAGTTCTGAAAAGGGGTTTTGAGTAGTGTTTTGAATGAGGACGGCTCAATGCAGTCTCAGAGAAAAAAAACATAATGTAACATTAAAAAAATAAAATCAGCATATAAATTCAGAGTTCTCCATACAGCATTACACAATGTGGTGTTAATCAGGGATGAAAAGTAAATAAAGGAGGAGACTGACAGAAGCAGATTGTCTGGTAGATTAGATAAACTCACAAAATGTACAGATTATAAAATATAGAATTTACACAGTATCAACTGCCAACTTTTTCAGTAATTCCATGTATGTAGTGTTGTATGAGAGTCTTTAGTTTTGTGAGACAGACCCAGGTTAGCAGGTCCCCATCTGTTTCCAGTCTTCATTATAAGCAAGTATACCCTCATTGTGGCTGTGGGTTCATAATGGAAAAAATGTGGGAGTAGCATCAATCTTCCCCTCTGTACAAGGAGAATAAATGGCTTGTTTAAATGTAGCAAAGCATAACATGTAACCACTGCTTTAGATACACTGAGTACAAAACACAGTATTACTCTTTAAAACACGGTGAAATAAAACTTCCCAAATTCAAAATGCTCATGTATGAGTACTTCTGAGTAGTACCTTAGAAAATGTACATAAACCAGATTGAGCTTCTCTTGTGCAAATTTGTAAATTTGAAATTGTGTAAATTTCATCTCTGACTACAGGATGCTGTCTCCAAACAGACATTTCCAATCTGCGTGTAAAGTACAATTCAATCCCTGCAGACATGTCAATTAAACTCAAGGTTCAACAGACAGTGTGGGAGTTATTTGGCTCGCTGCGCTGACACACCAGCCAGACAGAGAACAGACAGAGCTGCAATATACGCTGGCAGGACTTTTTGCAGTTCCCAAGTCAAGTTAACTCATAGAAGCACATGACACACCCAATTTCTCCTGGGACATATACGCACACACCCTGCTGAGAATATAAAATTACATGCATCTCACAAGGCAGCTCGGATGAAGATGCAAACCATGATTTGATCATGTACAGTGTTTCCTACAGCGTAATTATCTGGGTCTGGGCAGTAATCAAGCCCACACAGGCAAAATGTCATTTACACAAACTCACAAAGATTGCTGACCAATGAAGTGGCGCCACTGTAAAAATTGTGTCTACAAACCAGTCAACACAAATTCATTCTAAGGAAGATTAAAATGCTCCGTTTTTGTTGAAATTGTTTTAGAGAAGTACTGATTAGATTGTTATGGTTATTCTGGAGGCTGCAGTTTGTGGAGTTGTTGAAACACTTGTTTTCATTATTTTGAGCCATTCGTTTATTTCAATGTCATCTCTCTGTACTGATGTGAAAGATACGTGTGAACACCAGATTTTATGGGTTCACATACAAACTTAATACATACACACAAAAATAGACAAAGGAATATATTGTTAAGTTGTTGAAATCAACTTTAAAGATAATGGTGGTAGAGTGTAGCTTCAGTTCCTTATTTTAGGCCCTTGTTATTATACAGATATCTTTTTGTGCACCATTTTGGCCTATAACCTACAAAGTTAGGGTAAGGGGCTAGGGATTACATTATGCGAATCAGTGTCCTCACTAGGACAGCTGTACAAATGCACTTGTGTGTGTGTGTGTGTGTGTGCGCATGTCTATCTATAGTTGGCCAATTTGGTTCAATACCATCATTGTGAGGACATTTTGACTGGTCCTCACAAATTAAATAGGCTTTTTGAGGGTTAAGACTTGGTTTTCGGGTTAAATTAGAGTTAGGTTAGGGTAAGGGGCTATGCATTATGTCAATTAGTGTCCTCATAACTATAGAGAGACACGCATTTGTTTGTGTGTTTATGTGTGTGTGTATGTTGGGGGTTCAGGCGGTGGGTGGTGCTCTAATTGGATTACAAATGAGCTGAAGAACTATAATAATTGGGTTGAGAGGCTGCTGAGCAGACACTTGTATTCTGAGGACAAAGAGCAGCTTCATTACAGAATCAACCTGTTGGATCAGATCAAGATTTCAAATGGCCATTAACAGGTAAGACTTTGTGTTACTTTTTACATTATGATGTTAAATGACTTTTAACTCCTTTTTGACATTTTGTAAAGAAATGTTTATTGCATGAATGAATAAACTAATTGATGGGGAGGGGGGCTTCTTTACAAAGCCATCTTCACAGACATATATACACATATACGTATGTATATACACACACACATCTATAGCTATCTATATATATTTCATACTGCTTCAGATTACAGTGTCTGTGGTCATGTCAGAATGAGATGACAAAATAAATATTCAGTTTGATTCAAACTAATTATTTTAGTTTGTTGATTTCCACAGAAAATTCCTTGAATGATTAGCTCTATTTAATTAATATATGTGGAATTTTAATGCTTCTGTTGAAAAATTGCCCAATTTTGCAACACTTTATTGCGCCAGACTAGCTTATCATTCAATTAAAACTGACCGCCTCTGTTTTTGTTTTTTACGTATACAGCCTGATAAAACTACCAAATGAATTACTGATCAAAGAATCAAAGAAACACTTTAAGAGAGTACTCACATCATTCAGAATGTATCTAACTTGCTCTTGCTCACCATTGAGAAATGATCTGGTCATGTAAGTATGTGATTAGTTATGCCTTAATTAGTCAATGATTCTTAATTTACATTTGTATCTAGAGTTTAATAAGTACACAGTGCTAAAATGAATTCAGTCCAATTCAACAGCCCTTTCTTCAATTAGGTTGTTCAGTGTTTGCTGAAACTGTGCAATAGCTATATATCAATCATTGTTGAACATTGTTGAATCAGAGTTGTTGAACTGCATTGCATTATACAGAGAAGCTTCTGTTTTTGAGCTTATAGCTTACTGATACAAATGAGGCGGACGAAATATTTCAAAACCAAGTATTTCTCCGTGTTCAACTGTGAATTCCAGATGCTACTTCACACGGAGGTTAATATAAAGATCAGGAGGCACTCCCTTAGCCTCACGTCACCACACAATGTGACAAAGGAAACATTTGTGAATTTAAATGTTTTACAAGCTGCAGACATTTTACAGTGTTATTTGATTGCAGCTTACAAATCAAATAACACAAACGATCCAATCCACTGTGTTCTGCCATCCATCACATCTCTCAAAAATATTCTCTCTCGAAATTGTCACAAACTCCCGGTCTGGTTATTATCTGTACCTTTTCTGCCTCAAAATGAATGCACTAGTTCTTATTGCAGAGGGATGGAGAGAACTCCAATCTGCTGCACCTTTGCTTCACTGGTCGCTCTGCTCGTCCTCCTCTTTCTTCCTGTGAGGTCTTGGTGTAAGGAAGACAACTATAGATCACTTTCAGAGGTACTGTATGTCCAACAAGGCTAGAATTACACAAACAAGTGAGTTACTGTACATCCACATTTTCAGACCTGATCTCACAGCTGGCACCTTGTCTTTCAGGCTAACACAGAGTGCTGTAAGGACGTAAGGAGGTTTGATGACATCGATTATGACAGCTTTGTGAGTCTGATGGGAAGGAGAAGTACCGCTCAAACAAACGGTGAGTTAGTTGTACAGTAAAAACATCCACAAACACTTTCACAATGAAATGATTTATCCTCCTCTAACATGCAACTCCTTTTACAGGGCAAAGAAATGCCCCAATGTCAAGAAAAAGTAAGAAGCTCAAGTTTAATTCAGTGATTAACCAATACCTGATTGATCAATCACTTACTGCACTTTCAAAAACACACCCAGGATGGATAGATGGATGGACAGTATTGATACAGATGGATGGTATAAAAATAAAATCTGTGGTCTTCTCATGCAGGATCACACATGGATCACATCCTGGCTGATCTGCTGTTGCGGAGGACAAGTGAGTGACTTCAGTTACACTGACAGCAGCTCAAACAAACATCTAGTATTTTACACAATTTCCCTGTGTTGTTGGATTTTAATGGGAAATTGCATATTTGATATACACATTGTGTTTTTATCAATGCATTCACCTGCCATAGGCTTTAATCTACAGAACGTGGAGGTAGATGGGAAAGAAGTGTGTACATGCCAACATCAATATTTGTTTCCAAACTGTACATCCCACAGCTTCATGCTGTAGTGTTTGTATTAAGAAGTAGTTGACTGTGTAGTGACAGAGTGGAGGTAAACTAATTGTTTCCCTTGTAAGCCACAGGAAATGAATGTCAGTGTACACACAAGTCTTTACAGAAGAGCAGAGGTTGACTGTCCAATCACGAGAGGCAGAGGTGATTAAACTGAAACCTGCATCCTTCCTGAAATTAGAGAAAAATAGTTGCTGCTTCATCTTTTGACCAATTTTGTTCTTCCTACTCAGGTTCCAACTGTCTAGAATGAAGATGTCGCAGCTCCACCATTTTACCTTCAGTCTCTCACACTGCTTACAACAGCTACTGTATAAACAGAGGGCATGTATTTATGTTATTTAACCAAAGAAGCGACAAAAAAAATGTTAACCATCTGCACTAGCAAATGTTAAACAAGACAAGATGTACAATAAAATATGAATTTATTTATAGTGATTAAAGTACCATTCACAGAAAACCTCCCCGCACATGTGTGCTCAAACACTCACACAAAGTAAAGACAAGCAACACACACTAATGAGTACTGACTCAGTTCAGACGTCAATATAAACATAAAGACATTTCAAATAAAAATACTGTACTGTACAACTTTCCCTTGATAAAATTGTATGGGCAGGAAGATATAAGTCTACTGATGGTGATGCAACAAAAAGTGTCAATTGTCAAAATCAGTCCAAATTTTTTTATTTCACTAGGAAAAAAGGGTGTGTATAATTTCTAGAGCCCAATATATCAGTTGGTTGGTCTACAAATATTNTTATGTGTTATACGGTATTGATAATGACATTGTTTACACTATTTGTATTGGTCACCAAAAAGCCTTATCAGTCAGGATCCAACAATAAAAAAAACGTGCTGATTTGGTGAAAACTGGATTTTTCCTTTTCAAATACTGAACTTGCTCTGTGCACATGTACTGAAGGAAACTGGTTATGAACACAGAAAAAAGTGCAGGCTTTAGTTACATTATACATGTGTAACCTCGAGGCAAATCTAAAGGTTTAACTGGTGTAAGAAAAAAATATTTTTTTAAAACACACCAAAAAGCCCCCATAACACTCAAATGCATTTTCACATAAAACTTAATCCTGCCTGATTCCTGAAGCCATTCTGTATTTTCATACTATATTCTTCTATATTTGGTAATTAATGAATCTCCTGCCATAACATTAATCTTTGTTTGGCTACAAAGTTGTAAGGAAATTAGCAAGGATAATTTCTTAATATATGCAATGTAAGAAAAGAAGAAGCTCTGTCCCACCCCGCCCAGCATTTACAAAATACTCATTGCTGAAAGTACATTTGTATAAAAGACATAACTCTTGCTTATTAAGTCATGAACAACTAGTCATCCACTGGCAAAGGCCATGCTCTTTACATTGGAAGGATTCAATAAGCTGAAAGTTGTCACTCTCATTATGGTCATGTCACAGTGCAAAGTCACGTGTTCAGCTGTTGGCTCATACAATCTCAATTTACAAGGCACAAGCTAATGAGTCCACCAGGAGATACAGGGAAGTATGAAGTGCTGATCCAGAGACAGTTTCAGGAAGAACAAATAGAAAACCATGTGCTACAGATGGGTAAGAAGGAAAGGAAGTTGGTTTACGGATGCCGAGGGCTGCAGTCTCCCACTCGACTTTTCCACACACAGCCTCATCCAATAAAAATCTAAATAGTTGGACAATTGCCGTTGGGGTGCACTGTGGCCAATTTAATCAATCTGGAGATAAAATGCAGGGTTTCATTCACTCAAGACTAATGGATTGGTTAATGGAAGATTTTCTTTGGTTGACTACAGCCCACTGACTTCCTGCTCCTCCAGCTGAAGGTGTGTCTAACAACCATAGCTGGATCCCAGACCAAATAAAAGATGGCTGTGATGAATGAACATATAAAACACCAGTTATAAAGACTACAGGGAAGCACCAACATTCACTGCATTAACTCCAAGAAGTGTTCACAAATAACAGCGTGTCTGTCCATCCTCAGTCTGGTTTCATCCCAGAGGAAAATCTTTGGCTCGACTGTTAAGAAGACTGATCACTTAAAGCATCGTGGTCACATAAATGCATCTCTATGTTAGCAATAAACAGATAGAACGGACTCCAAAAACCTTGCTAATGAAATGTATTTTGGGTTGGGCTTTTTTTCTACAGATCATTTTGAGGATAATTGTGATAGATCAGCTAAATAAATGTGATAACACAAATTGTTATTATCTATAGGACAAAAACAGTTTTACTGCACTTTCACATGAACTAAAAGGAAACTGTATTCACCTTAAAGTCTGTAAAACACCTAAAACGATTGACTAGTGGCTCAATGTGCAATTATTCTTGATAATCCATTAATTGTCTTTTTCCCCCAAACAAAAACATGAAATATCACCTTGGTCCAGCTTCTTGCATATTAGGATTAGCTGCTTTTTCCCCCTGTGATAGTTACTTAATCATTTTTGGGGTTTTCAGGAACACACACTTTTCATTTAAAATATTTTGTAATTTTTTACTATTTTATAACATTTGACATTTTCAAAGCAAACATAATGTGTTTTTTATGGTAAAGAGAATTACCATTAGTTGCAACCCAGGTCATTTCAATAAAACTTTAAATCATTTTTTTTAAATGAAACAAGACTTTTTTCATTAAGTTAATTTTCCAAAAGCTTAATATAAATTAAATGGGACTTTCAGAATGGCACCACAACATTTCAACAAATAAAATTGTTATATTCCTTTACAAGGAACATGGATGTAACATTACAATTACACTGAAGTATGATAGAAAATACTAGAATCAAATTTGGAAGTCAGAAAGCTGGTTCTCAGAACAAATACAATATCATCTATGATATCTATTATTGAGTGAACGGAGATTGACAGATTTTAATTTTGTTCAATTATCAGAAAATGAATGAAGTAGCTCCACACCTCAAATCTTAGTCACTTGTTTCAGTTCAAGACACAATCTGTTTTCATCAGCAGGCACATAGTTCTCTGTGTGAACTGAGGGCCATCTACTTCATTGTGTCAAGACGAGAGTGGTAGATCAGGTTTTGGTGGTTTTGCAGCAGTCAAGTAAGGGATCAGATGAAACGTGCCTCTGGGAAATAATTATTGATTGATGCAGATTTAAAAAGTGCTTTAGTTAGTTTTCAAATGATCATAACCTACAGCAAGCTGCTTTCAACTTGAAAATTGTACAAACCATCTTACAAATCTGGAAAAATAAGGGCCTAAAATGCAGTCGCAAGTTGAAGTTAGTAGCAGTCCTTCAGCTCAAGACACTTCAGATCAAAGTGGACAGTTGGTTCTACTTTAGTAGAAATATGAGCCAAGATTATCAGAATGAATAAGCAAAGATTAAAAACACAAAATTCTGTCTCTTCCTAATGAAAATGTTCCCTTCACACACCCACAGAGTCCTACTGCTGTTTGTCCTCTGGTACAATGGGAGGCTCTTTACCAGTCCCAGGATGTTGATCTTCATCCTGTCTCTTATCCGTCTTGGATGGATCCACACCCTCTCCTTGCCCTTTCACCTGAGGAACCGCCTCTTTTTGTCCTTCTGCAGCCGAACCTGAATGCTCAATACTATAGCGCTTTGGGGCGGGGGGCTGGTAACGGTGTCTATAGCCGAAGGCACGCAGGTGATAGGTGTAGTACTCCAATAAATACATTTGTGAACCATCAACATAGTGGAAAGACACAGACAAGTCTGAGCAGCAGAATGGACCCTGAAAAAATAAACAAAAAACAGTATTTGGTTATGCAACATTACAGACGCGTCCACATTTTCAATCTACACAAATCAAATCTCTAATCAAACAGCTGAATGAATGTTTCTCTATACCATCTAATTGGATCGGATAAAACCGTCGTCTCAGTTGAGGAAGTTTAAAGCCCATCTGTGTAATTCTTGTGGATGTAACAATAGCAATATAAAAGACTTTTGTAAGAGCATGATAGCTCAACAAAGTCTGGTGGTTTTCACATGTAATGTCTTTTTCTGACTTTCATATTTATCAGAAAAATAAGGTTGTTTTGCCAGCAACTGAAATAAACACAAACTGTCCAGTTTCAATCCACAAATATTTAGTGGTGACACACTCTGACTGTCATGTCATATTTCACTGTGCTCGGCTCAAACAAAATGCGTATCTCCAGGGTGCACCTGTCACAAGGTGATAATTACAGAAATTGTTTTCAGAATATAGAACCATGCATCCAACCGATGAACATGCCACTTCTGTCGATCTAGTTTCACCACTGACTGTGTAAAGGAGATTTGCCATTCTAACCTGACAGCCTCCAATATTGACAAACAAGTTGCTTCACTTGCCTCTATGATTGGGTAGTAGCAGTAGCTCCAATACCAGAAGCTCTTGGGGAACTTGTATGTGAGGTGCTGCTCCGGAACAAAGGGGTGAAATGTCTCCCTGTGCGCAGTATCTCTGGCGTCTCCCGCCAGCACCCCGACTTTCTCCATGCATTGTCCCATTGCCAGGTCCTCTACAGAGGTAGTGTGAGTGCACTGTTTGGTTTTAAAACCTTCTACAAATCGCCGCAGAGCCTCTCTGCTCAGCACATACCCTGCTCCACCACTCATGTAGCCCTGCTTGGCGTAGGGCTTGAACCGTCGGCCAAAGTAAATCGGCTCGTCCGGCGTGTGGTTCGCAAGAACCCACCGCAAGTTGTCTACAATCACGTAGGTGTCATCGTCTGCCTTGAGGAACCAATCTGCCTCGTGGCTGTGATGCTCATAGGCGTAATGGAAGGCCCGGATTGTTTTCCAGTAGAGCTGATCCCGACCTTCCTCTGTACCTAATCCCACAGTGGGGAAGTTGGGGTCAGCCACGGAGCTCATGAAGACCACCACATTGCAGTGACGGCTCCACGTGGTCTTCACATGTCGAGCCTTTTTCTCCAAGTTGTTTGGTGCGGTCATCACCCAGCAAAGAATCCGCACCTTTTTGTACAGCTCATCAGCAATGTGGCCATCCTCACCTGGTAAACAGATAAAAACATAAACATCACACATTTAAGTAAATTCTTTAGAGTCAATGTTCATTAAGAGCATTTGAACAAACACTAGTACACTCATACCCTGGAGTGCATTAGTTATAAAATCTAATAAAATCCCATTGCAAGTGCACATGAGGGTTGGACAGTTTTCTCTATTGTCAGGATTTCCATAATTCTTCTTTTATCAGACCAACAGATCAAAAAACAAATCTATCAATGATATAAAAAGAGAAGCAGTGATTCACAGCAGGTGCATCAGCACATTTGCACTCTGTGCAACATACTTGGGGAAGATATTTTTCTGTATCCGTGGTTAATCAGAAAACAAGTCCACATGTAGTAACCTGGGTACTGTAAAGGTGTGTGCATATGCAGCATGACTACGTCTTTTTCATCCACAACTCAAACATGTTTGGTAACCACGCCTTGGTTTAACTGTAGTGTACACAGTCACCATAAATTATTTTAATATTTAAACTTTCCAATGGTGGAAATTAGCTGATGATTCAGACATCTAGAGAATATTGTTGTTAGTTTCAGCAGGAGAAAACGGGGCGACTGCAGAAATCAGGTTTTTCAAGTTAAAGGACATTCTTAACTGATTGGATGACTGGATAATCCTGTATGCTATTCACAGTATACCCAGTTACTTTCAGTGCACTTTAATGCATATATATTCAGCATGATAAATAAAAAATCAGTGTGAAAGCACACTGCGGCTGGGAGCAAAAAACAAATCCCTAAAATAAGACAAGTTGCAGAGATGATGAAGAGACATAAGGTACGATGTAGTCCAGCAGGGGACAGTGAAGGAGCAGCATCTCCTTTTGACAAGCAAAGCCAGTGTTTACCCCCTCATTTTTATTTACTTTCCTCCTTTTGTCAACTTGTAGGAAGTGAGGGAAGAAAAAAAGGACAATGAATGAGAGGAGGTGGAGATGAACATACAAGAAAGTTGCCAACTTAATTACTGATTACAAATTACTCTGTGGTCTCTTTTGTCTCACTAATGGATTTATTTCTTGATTCAGGATTCCACACAAAAATAGGGATCATATTATCTGCTCAACTAGGGCTGGGCAATAAAATAATTAAAATAATAATTATTACAATTGAATTTGAATCAATAGCAGTAGAACTAAAAGGTTTAAATACATATCAATATAATGCTTACGCATTGTGTCAGCACAGTGAGGCTTGTTCTACTTCAGATTTAGAAAATGTTTTCCTGCAAACTTTGTGATTCTCTGCTCATAAAAAGTTTCAAACCATCATCAAGCCTTCCCACGAACATCTTTTGGATCGAGGCATATTTAGAAGCAGTACCTTTGTGATGAGGGTGCTTCAGGTTGAACAGAGCAGACCTCTCCTTCTTCCATATCTTCCTCTCTTCCTCCAGCTCCTGCTGATAGTCACTGCGTGCGTTGAAAGCTATGGCCTGCCTCTCAAACCAGACCTGCCCTAGAAACATGTACAGTATGAAGGTCCCGACCACAAACCCCGCAACGAAGAAGAATCTGGATCCGAGGGTCTTCATGCTGGATCGGGTGTCTCGCTGTCAGCTGATCAACTCGGCAGGTGCTGGATTCGAGAGTGGAGGAGAAACATGGACACACGGTTCACTCCGAGCGCATCAAGACTGAAACAGGAAACTTTCAGACCTGACGTAGCAGTGTGAAGGTGAGCGGCTGGCGTGTGTCACTTCCCTGTGTTTAAGGTGTGGTTTCACTCACCAGCAGCAGCGCAGGCACCATAGCAGCTTCACTGTCCGCTACTCCATCTTCCAGAGAGACGCCAACTTTCACAGGGAAACGCTGAGTTCGTTTCTTTTTGACGCAGCAGTTTCTTTTTCATCTAAACGGAAACTTAGCTCAGCTAGCCTGTTGCTAACGCTCACCGTGGTAAACAGAGAGCGAGCTAGCCCCAAACAGCCGCTCAATAAAAGCCAGGACGGATGGAGCTAAATCATAACGCCAGGCGTCAGCGGCCCCTCGGTCATGTGTTGGGCAGCGGGCGTTAGTCAACACGGAAGTCCATTGTTTCCTCGACGCTGCTAACGTTAACTTCAGTGCTAAGTTAGCGGGGAGCTTTCCCGTCGTGATAACGGAGCGAACGGAAGTGTCACAAAGTTTCCTGACCGACTGGGATGGACGAGGTTGATGTTGACCGCGACAACTCATCTAGTTTGAGGAGAACAACGTGAGAGCCGACAGCGCGAGATAACACCACCGTTACACAAACACACAAACACAAACAAACGCACACACACACACAAACACACAACTTCTCCTGGCTGCAGGACCGGAGCCACCGCTTCCGCTTACTCTTTCAAAATAAAAGCGCAAAACAGACACGTGTACACGCTGCCTCGGTATAGTCCGATGTGGGACTTTTCATTATTATTCCCAGACACCTAGCAAGCAACCTGTACGTGTGTGATACAGTCTATGGTGATGACCATACAGTCTGTGTTGATGGCAACATGTGGTATCACTCACACAGGCCTAAATGATCCCCTCATGAAAACCACATTTAAAGTGATTTGAATTTTGATCTGCACACTAGTATTTTATGATTTGTTTTGTCTTGTCTACCTGCTTTTTAAGTGCTATATAAAAAAATATTATTGTTGTTGTTGTTACTATTACTCTCTGTGTCTCTGTACACTGTTTTAATATGCAGAGCTACAATGGAGGGATAGTCACCAGTCCCCCTTTAAAGGGATAGTTTACCCCAAAATGAAAATTCACTCACTATCTACTCACCACTATGCCGATGGAGGCAGAAGTGTTTGAGTCACAAAACACTTCTGGAGTTTCAGGGGGGAAAACAGTGCTGCCGCCAAATCCAACACAATCGAAGTAAATCGTGACCACTTCTTCAAATGTAAAAAAACATGCCTCCATACTGCTCCTGTGCTGTCATCCAAGTGTCCGTAAGCCCTGACATTGAATACTCCAAAAATTTATGAAAAATTAAAAGAGAATTTGTTTTAATATCCAATGGTTGTGGGGGAGGGTTAACTGTTTACTGACTAACTCATAACACCACATAATAATTGTAGATGTCAGTCTACACTAATGAACTGCCTTCAACCTTTTTTACCAGCACTGAAGTACAATTTCAAATAAACTGTTAACACATCCACACCCAGTTGTTATCTCAGTTTGAGTAAATAACACTTGGACTTTGTCCTTACAGGTCTGAGGGAAGGATTCTTCTGTCACAGGAGACAAAACAAATATCAATCATTTACACATCAATGCAAATAACTGGATGAAGCACAGAGGACTACAGTGGTATTCTTTATTTAATAAAAAACAAAGATTGCCCAAAGTATTTACAAGGCAGCTCAAATGGACTTTAGTCATACAATGAAATCAATCATGGTATTTTTAAAATAAAGTAAAACAGCCCTATTCGACAAAACGGTAATAAATCTTGTCTTTTCTGCCTCTGGTGTTAGATATCATGGTTTAAAAATAAGTCAATGTGTTTGCTGGATAACACACAAGTCTCCACCAGGTCATATTTGCCATTAAAGTTTGGAACAATGTACATATTTAGATGACAAATTCAAGTGAATAAATGTTTTTTCTGCCTACTCATGCACGATCTTGACACTAATGGAGACATTTGGAACAAATGCCTTAGTCAGGTGCCTGAAACAGTTTGTGTATATGACTCATTCCTGCAGTGAAATTAAGTTACAAGATTGCACCGTAACAAATTTTAACATATTTACTAAGGACACTCAAGTGCCTCTTAATTTGTGCTGATATACAACAAATCAATTCAAAGCCACATTCACGCAATGATTACGCACAGGTTTGTTTGCATGTAGCCATATTAATTCACAAACTGTACAGATTCAGCCCTTTGAAAGAAACCTCTGTGGATCCTTAGAAAAGCTCTGCATGGATTCATTATTTCCATAGACTGAATTATTGACATTGTAGCTTTCCTTAATTTTCTTTGCTAAATTAAATATAGGTGAATAAAATAAAGTTCTCGTCAAAAAGAATAACAAGGTACTCACAAAAAAGATTTCTCTTCCTAACATCCCTCTAAGAGTTTTTCTTTTAAATCCCTTTAATCACACACACAACACCCCGAGGGAAAACCAAAAGATGAATGTAACAATGCTTAAATTTGGTATTTCTAAAAAGTATAAAGTGCCACAGCATTTTTACAAACATGTATGTAATGTACAGTTCTGTTTGTTGATAACATTACCACCAAACAAAGTTTCAAAGACAAACAGCAACTGAAAAATGAACCCTTGAGGTTTTGTCCCTTTTTTCCATTTTCACGTATATAAACCACCTGTGGAATGACTCATCCAGTGTAATGAGACATGCACCACCACCCTCCATCAGCTGTGTCATGTCAGAAAAAACTAGAACTTCAGAACTTAACTGCAAATATTCAGTAGCACTCACTGACATATTTCTAAAAAGGTACATGTTGTATTTCACACGGCTTTTTGAGCCATCTATCAAAACTGAATCCCATCAAAAAGGGGAAAATGCATAACTGCATATAGCTGCACAAAGACAGCTGACATGTTGCTGTTTCACTGTGCAACATATAAATGGTGCCTACTGAAGACACATATTGTCTTTTTCAAAACACAGAGAGATTTTCTGAATGTGCGAACAGGTGAGTTGATTATCTGCCAAATTTCGTAGCAGTGATTTGATCATGTCAGCTCTTTTTTAAAATTTGCTGCTGCACTTCAGAGTCCTTTCTTCCCCCTGGTCTTAAGAGGAGTTCACATTCACAAAAGGTCCAATTAATGTCCTGAACGAGCTCAGATGTCCACGTCGTCTGAGTCAGAGGTGCTGGATGATTGGGACTCCTCCTGGGACTCTCCCCACACAAACCTATAGTTGTTCTCTAACTCCTGCTGCCTCTTTTGCTCCTTGTAAACTTCTTCTGTTCCTCCAGTCTGGGGGATAAAAAGACTGGATGTCAGATAACAAGCACAACCTGACTGACTGATCCACTTTAGGGCAGCCACTAACACATATTTTCCATTATTCAATTCTACAGTAGAGCTCTCTTCTAAAAGCTATTGATTGAAACACTGCCACTGTAAATCACGGTAGAATAACCACAGATTATAGCCATAATATTTTCTCTTATTCAATGGAAATTCTGAGATAGCAGAAAGATGACTTTATGATATTAAGAAGCAAACATAAATCACGGCCAACATTGATGTTGTGGTAGGCGGTTAAAAGGAAATCAATGAGTGGAAAACATTTTGTCGGTTTAAAATACCAATGTTTACAACATCAATGTCATCAAGCACAATGTGTGGTCATTTTTGGTTTTATACCAGAGAACGAAAATTTTAAACTAAATTATCAGTGTTAAAATAAGTTCTGTAATTTCTAAATTTGGAAAGTCAGTTGTGTCTGACAACCTAGAACCTGTCAGAAACTTTAACATTTGTTCCTTAATGTCTTAGCAGTCTCTTATCTGTTGTATGTGAAGCTACAGCTATACAAAGACTGGAAACAGGGGAAAGCAAGGAGCCTTGCTGTGTCCTCCTGGTGTCTCCACTTATTTTTAGTTAACTACACCAAGTGAAGACAAATAACTAGAGGTGTGGAAATTTCTCCAGTCTTCGATGCATCGCGATGCAGACATGATTGTGCTCTGTCATTGATGCGGAGACAGAGCACAATCAATGTTTTTAGCTAGGTTCATTGTTTTGGCGATGTCCTGCTGCTGTATAATTACAACCAGCGCTGCTTCAGGACCAGGACAGACACTCATTAAAGGTCCGGTGGTCCTGTGTCGTAGTCTGCTTCCTCCTCACTCCCCCTCTGACCTGCGCTCACTTAACACTTTAACAATAAACACCATCATTGATCACAAATACAGGACTGACGTTTACTGTGTGTTTGTTTGATTCGCTGTGGAGTTTGTGAAACACGTGTTAAACACACCATGCACACTTATTCCCCTGCTTCACACAATGCGAGACGAAACGTGACTCGCATAATCAGGACATCAGGATTAAAGTGATGGAACAATCTGGAGTCATGATCCGACATCATCGATTGATAACTAAATACATGTGGTTCTCAGTTCTTGTGAAGAGGGACAGAGATGAGCAGACACACACACACGCCTGCAGACAGAGGTTTTCCCGCAGATTATGACATAACACAGTGTTTTAACTTCATTGTTGCAGAAGAAGTGGAGCCTGGTTTATTCAGGACCAGAAATTGGAATTCAGCAGGTTTCGATAAAAATCAGTTCTAAGTGTGATGATTAGAAAACATCAGATGAGCAGAGTCTGTCATTTACCAGCGCAGAGTAATGCACCTCAGTGCAGTGGCACTGCTAAGGGGGGCCAGGCAGGGCCACCTCCATACATTAAAGGCTATAATCAGTGTTTGTCGTTTTAAGCTTTAGGTGCAGCACACAAGTCTAAACTGAATGAATGTCAAATCATCACTGCCACGTGCAGTAATATAGAAAATTGTTGAGGTGATGCATCGAATTCGACTCGAATTGTTGACTGCTGAATCGTAATCGAATCGTGATGCTAGTGATGACACACACCTCCATAAATAACCCCATGAAATAGATGTTTCCCCCCCACTTTTTTAAAGATGTTAATTTAGGAGGAGAATATTCCATCAGAGCTGTTTGTCTGATGGGGAGGATGGTTGGTTTTAGAGAGTTACAGAAATGTTCTGAAACAAAGCATTTGCATCCACTTTGCAAAGTAAAGAAACAAGTATTTGAACTCCTCTTTCTAGGTTCCTATTTTCATTTGCCTTGGGCATGCCCTGCTGTACACCCAGATGAACACACAGGTTCACCGGCTTGCCCTTTATTGTCGCAACAAACTTTGAGGTCAGCTAAACTCCTGCCACACACAGCAATGCATGACATCAACCTATTTAAAGTGAATGCTCAGATCTTTTTTTTTTTAATTAGACATATTCAGAGAGTTGAGATCTACGAGGTTTGGCGAGATGATCAGACAATGTCCTCTTTCCTCATAAGAGGAATGTGGTATTGTTTGGCCTGTGCCTCATGTTTGCACTGCACTTAGGCCATCATTCTAGTTTACTGAGCAAACACAAATAACAGTATCACGGTGCATGACATGTGAACAAATATCCTCCTAGCCAAGGAAACACCTGTATTAAAAATTACCAAGAGGTTTATGAGTAGCTCCCTGAAGGACTTTGTATCTTCTTCAGTCAACCACTGATCACCTGCCTCCTCTGCATTCTTTCGTGTCAAGATCTTCACCTCAATTTTACCTAAAACAAAAGATAGAAAAAACAGATGGACAGGAGGCGTGTGAATTAAATATTTCCAAGTTGCTCTAAATAAGAATATGTGCCAAATGTTAAAACAGAAACAAAAATTTGTAAAGACAAAACATTTAATGAAAAAAGAACACACGGATGAAACAGCTTCCATTTCCGTTTTACTTTAAGACAAGCTTCTGCTTTCTGTCATAATGACCTTTAATCTTGCGATTCCCTTGAAGAAAAAATAACTAATGTAATGGCTCCCTGTTCAAATGTCCTGCTACTAATTTGGATCTTCAGTAAATGCACGTTTTTTTTCTTGCAGCATAAAAGATATGGGAAACCCATCATGTTGCTAGCTTGATATGTACATCTGTTGAATGGTTGAACGTTGGAAAACATGAGAGTTGTGTGGTTTTTGACAAAGA